ATTATAGCCTTTAAGTCCATTTATATTACCTCTCCTTTTATTTGACAGATACAGAAAATTGAAGGATTAATATCATATCGAGACCCTCATTTTTGGCGTCATTCTGCCAGTATTGTGGCAGGAACAATTCATATACAGGTGACATCTGATGTGCTAGAACAAAGAATAGTACAGCAGGTAATCTTTTGCTTTTACAGTAATTTCAGTTGAAGTAATTCATGCATAAAATTGTACACATTAGAAAAGTAGTAATTTAACAGCTTAAAATATCAGTCTTTCATCTAAGGATACAGAACTTATTTTTTTACATCTAGATTTGTTTCATATTCCAGAGTGGTTAAAATAAAATCAAGTTTTAGTATTTAGAGGATAAGCTTAATTTATGTAAAAAAATTTCATTTATGATCCACCTTCATTCACAATAGATTATCAAGAAATGTTATTATAAACGTAGCCCTAAATTAATAATATTAAAGTTGGCAGGGTGTATGCTATGATTGGAGATAAGGATCAAAACAGTTCCTGTATCCCTAGTCTAGATATATGTAATTGGAAACAATAGCTGTTTTTCTTTACTACTTTGAATGTGAGATCAAAATTTACAGGTCTTCTAAAAGATCCTATGTAACATTTGCCAAATAAATAATAAACATTATTTTGAGGATTTATCTTTGACTATAGTTATAAAAATGTGTTATCAGTTATTTAAGACATGCATTAAATGCATAATCTAAATGCTTTAAAATATATGGGTTTTTATAACAGGTTACAGGAATACTTAAAGATGCTGGCGTAAATAATTTAACAATTCAAGTCGAAAAAGAGGCATACTTTCAACATATGTCTGGCCTGAGTACTGGATTTCATGATGTCCTGGCTATGACAAAACAAATGGAGTCCATGAAATACTACAGAGATGGTACTTACATCATGTGAAATAACTCGGGGAATTACCCGTGGTGTGTGAACAATGAAGATTAAAATAACTCAGTATTTATAATATTGCCAGAAGGAAGAAAATTGCACATAAGTGTACAGAAACATGCCATATTTGAAAAAAGTTTAAAACTTCCTACTGTTGGATCAAGGAATCTTTCTAAAGGAAATTTAAATACAAAATGAAGCATTAATTGTTCAAGTAAAATAATTATTTGAATTATGTATGTAACAAGAATCTTAAAATTTTAGTGAACATGATGTATTACATCATCTTTAATAATGAACATATAATGATGGAATTGAGTGAAGACCAAAATTACTTCTGTGTTTACTTTCTGTTAGAAAGCATCTCCATTGTAAATAATGTATTTACATGTTTATTACAAAGACCCAAATGAAAAATTTTTAGTCAATTTTTTGCATAGCCCTAAGATAAAATAGGAATAAAAGTTCTATATTTATGGATTTTCTGTATATAAAACTGGTTTCTAATTATAAGTTAAATCCATGAAGTAAAATCTGTACTGCCACTTTAAATGTAAACTAAATTATTTGGGAGAAACTTCAACCACTGATACGAGACAAGCAGTGAGAATAGGAAAGTATAACATTATAATTTTTGATGTATTACAAAAACCAACCACTCTGTAAAATAAATTTTTTACTTTTGATAATATTTGCAAATGAATACTTTATTAGGGTAAAGAACTTATACTGAGTTGTGTCCATGTTATTTATTCACTTGTCTTCTGCCTCTAAAGTAGAATATTCCATTTCTTATTATGCATCTGGAATTCCTAGTTGCCTATCAAGCTGGTATCCAAGCAATGCTAGGCATTGCATCTTTTCATTTAGCTCTGTATGTGGTGGAACAGCCAGTTGAGAGAACCATAAATAATTAATTGAATGTTCTGCCTATAAATGTAATTTTTAATACATTTCTGGAACATGTAAATATATAAGAAATATCAAAGCATATACATAGGTAGTTATTTTGAGGTTTAATAAGTAAATCTTATCCATAAACACTTGGGCACCATGAAATCAAAATACTTACCTTATAACTACTTTTTATAGTAATATCTAATTTATATTTTTTAATTTCCAATTTAAACTGAATGTATAGTCTGAAAAGACTATATGATAGATATATGCAGTTTTATAAAACCAAAGAATGTTGTCCAAAAGAAACATCTCTTTATGAGAATCTGAATATTTTCACCCTTATACTAGAAATTTTGATAAATAGGATGAATTAATTTTAGTATGGGTACTATTTTTTTATCTATACCATAATGGCAAATGTGTATTGTAAATCATATTTTTGTCTTACTAATTTTAATATGTGAAAGATTTAGAAATTTGTTGTAAGTTATTTTGATATTCCTTGTCTTCTCTTTACACTGTCTGGTCCAGAATCTTCTATACATACTAAAATTTTTGAGTGGTGGGAAAATAATTGCATATTGATGTTTCAATGCAATTTTTATACTTGAAAAAATTTTTAAGTAGGTAGGTACAATAAATATTGCACCATCATTAAAATTGTCATTTCTCTTAGACAGCTTATAAACAGCAAGAAAATTAATGTGACTGAGAGATACCAAAATGTGAGCGAAGGCAGGAGTTGAACATTAAAGGGGTACAGGTGGAAAGTAGGAAAACTCCAGTATTGAAGAGCACCAGGATACTAGTTCCAGCTCATACAAACCATGTGACTTTAGGCAAATATCTGAGTATCTTTTTTTCCCCTCATACATAAAGAATAAAATATGCTCAAATTCACAGCGTTATGAGGAGCAAAAAGAATAATGTATGTGAAAATGAGAGTTGAAAAGGGCTAACTAAATAAAGTGAGAGAATTATTATTTTAAACCTGACTTCAGAAGTTTTTTTCTATTGAAATCAGTACCTAAGAGATTAATTAAATATTAAGTGAACAAATAAGCTTAAAATAATATACAAAACAGAAGCCTATGTCTAGTTTGACCCAAGAAGGGTAGTGGTGGTTGCTTAACACACCTATTAGTTTCTCTCATTCCCTTTCTCTCCAACCATTGTTTTCCATTATTACCAATTTAGGAGCTCATAATTTCCACTTAGAATAAACTTCACATATTTTATAATACAGATTTATTGTTCCTTTTACATGATAATAGATCAAAATTCAAACTTTTCTAATTTCAACAGAAAAATAAAGCTATAAATAGAGATCTCTAAAGGATTCTGGTTTTATTTTAAATTTAGATTGATTCTCCCCTCAAATATTAATGCAGAGATGCATGTTTACTAGTTAATGGTTACATGGTCAAAAATTTAAAAGAGTAAATGACAAAAAGCCTCCCACCTGTCAATCATACACAGCTCTCTTCTAAAAATTACCACTCTTGTCAGTTTCTAGTATACCCTTCCAGATATTTTAAGAATATACAAGCAAATGCATGTATGTATTATTTTTTACTTAAAAATTATTCCATAGTTGAAATAAAGCATCTTGGTTCTTTTTCTTAGCTGTATAGTAACCCTATTGATAGATATTTTTTTTTTAGGTTGGTTCAAATCTTTTGCTATTGTAGACAGTGCTGATACAAATAGCCTTGTATTGTACAAACATCATTTTGCATATGTGCAAATAAACATGTAGAATAAATTCAGACAAGTAGAATTTTGGAGACAAAGGGTTTAGGACATTTATAAATCTAAAACATATTGCTAAATTGCACTCCATAGATTGTCACAGTTTACCCTTCCAAATAGAAATTTAAGGCAAACATTTCTTATGGCCTCAATTTGTATGTAAGTTAATTATGCAAAAAGATTACATATAGATGTCAAACTAAGTTCAATTATAAAACCAGTAATGTTTATTTCATTTTTAGTGTGATTTTTCAAAAGGAAAGTGTTCTAGTACATAATATATAATACAACTAAAAGGTTACAGTTGGATTGTTTTTTGTTTTGTTTTGTTTTTTTATTAGATTTTTTTTTTTATTGGGGAATTGGGGAGGGGAACAGCGCTGGGGAATCAGGGGAAGGGGAACAGACAAGTTGTTGTCCTTTTGTTCTTCAGTCTAGTTGTGGAGGATGTTGCTTCACTGGCCCGTGTTGGTNCCACGGACCTGTAGGCGGAGGCATGAATGCTAACATGAGGGGTGAGTCCTTACCAAAATTACTGGCCTACCTTTCAACAGTGTTGTGAATTGACGTTGGGTTTTTTTTTTTTTTTTGTATTAAATATTGGGCTTCTGGTATAAATTTATTTTTGAAAAACTATCTGTGGCTAAAGAAAAATCTGAAGTCTGGTGTAGAAAATGCTCACGTTTGTTCATAAATGTCGATTTTTTTAGAGTCCGTTTCATGGTGACAATTGTATAAATATTACTTGCCAGGGAACACTGAGTGTGCCATTATGAACTCTCACTACAAAAGAGCCAGGATATTTTTATTGTACTATAAAAAATATAAAAAATGAGGAAAGTGTTATCACTTATTATATTAAATTTTTTATTCTGGTTGTTTAATGTAAATAATTTGGGTAATATTAAAACTTGGCTCATTTATGATTTCTAAGAAGCCTTTCCAGACAAACTGCACCATCATAAAACTCACCACGTAGTGGTATAGTTGCCCACATCCTTCCCTTTTTACCACTGTGCTGTGAATTCCTTAAGGATAGTGACCATGTTTTAGTCATTTTTTAAATACCAGTCCCTAGCAGAGTGCCAGGTTCATAGTAGGTCCCCAGTAATATTTGTAGAATGGACAAAAGAACTAAATTAGATGTGCTTTAACTTTTAATATTTTTCTATATTTCACTTGTAGGTGTGTTTCTACATGTTTTGGCAGACACACTTGGCAGTATTGGTGTGATTGTATCCACAATTCTTATAGAACAGTTTGGATGGTTCATTGCTGATCCCCTCTGTTCTCTTTTTATTGCTATATTAATATTTCTCAGTGTTATTCCACTGATTAAAGATGCCTGTCAGATTCTACTTTTGAGACTACCACCAGAATATGAAAAAGAACTACATCTTGCTTTAGAAAAGGTACTGTGTGTGAATTTCTTCACTGGTCTTTTCCTTTTAAGATAGCATTTGAAATTAAGTTGACCTAACAAGAAATGTGCATAGTGTGGATGAAGAAAATACAGTTTTACATAAAGGACATAATATAGGGCCTGAATAAATGGAGAGAGAGATTTTCTTGGATAGGAAACTGTATTGTGAAGACATTGATTTTCTTTCACTTAAATCTCAATGCAATTGCCTCTTGTTTGGATTTTTTTTTTTTTCTGTTTGTTTTGTTTTGAGGGAGGGTAGATAATCCAGTATTATTTGGAAGCTTATTTGGAAGCGTTAATGCTTGAGAATAAACAAAATACACTGTATACATAAATTTACAGAATTAACTAATTAATAGAATCCTATCTTGTGATTATAAAGTTACAGAATTAACTAAGAAAACTAGCAGTTTTGTTCTTGCATAAGAATAAACACATAAATTCTGATTTAAAAAATCAGAAACAGACCCAGGAACTTAAGAAATTCAATATATATCAAAGATGACATTTCAGATCACTGGGGAAGAAAGGATTGACCTAATTAACATTTCCACTTGGTGGAAAAGAAAAGCTATATCTCTATACCACACTACATAAAAATATGTTTCCAGTGGATTAAATATATAAATGACAAAAAAAATTATAAAACTGCTAAAATAAAATATTTTTATAGTCATGGAGGTAGGGAAAGCCTTCTTAATATGCTTGAAGTGAAACCAGAAGCTGATAAAAGAGGGGGAAAATCTACAGATTGGACCAACTGAAAATTGTCCATTGGCAAAAGATTCCATAGCAAATGTGAAATACAAAAGTCAGACCAGGAGAAAATATTTGCAGCACATATAAACAGGCAAAGGCTTACTATTTATAATCCTTTAAATCAAGAAAAAAAACAGTCTTATAGAAAAATGGACTAAGAATGTAAATGGGCAATTCATAGAAGAACAAATATAAAATAGAATGTATTTCAACTTGTGGTCAGCCATATATTAAAGCAATTAGGATCTGCTAATGAAAATTAGCATCTTAAATATTTAAGGTATAGCACCTTAACCCACTTTTCATAAATAAAATTAGTATAGTTTTCTCACCTTCTCATCATTAGTTACTACTAAATCCTACTAAAAGGTTTTTTATTTCAAAATACGTCTATCACATAAAATGTCAAAATACAGAAAAGTACAAAAAAGGATGGGGAATCACATATTATTCCACCACCTGGAAAGAAACACTTTCAAAAGTTGTTTTTCTAGAGGGCTGGCCGAGTGGCTTAGTTGGTTAAGAGCTCGCTCAAGAGTTTGAGCTCTGAGCACCAGTGGTTCAATTCCCGGCCCGAGCTGAGCAGCTGCTGAGCTGCCAACTGGTGGCAGGGTGGCTCAGCTTAAAAAAAAAAAA